TTCTGAAACCCTGTGATACTATCAGCTGTGATCATAAGCTTACCTGGAAACGTTGGGATTTGAGCTGGGTGCAGTGTCCCATGCCTGTAATCCCAGCACTTTGGGAGGCCGAAGCGGGTGGATCATGAGGTCAGGAATTCGAAACCAGCCTGACCAACATGGTAAAACGCTGTCTCTACTAAAAATAAAAAAATTATCCAGAGGTGGTGGTGCACACCTGTAATCCCAGCTACTCAGGAGACTGAGGCAGGACAATTGCTTGAACCTGGGAGGCAGATGTTGCAGTGAGCCGAGATCACACCATTGCACTCCAGTGCTCCAGCCTGGGTGACAGAGCCAAGCTTTGTCTCAAAAAAAAAAAGGTGGGGGCTTGCTTTGAGGTGCTCAGACCTGATCACCTTCCAGGGATGCAGGTGGCCAAGAGGCAACGCGGCATGGCTAGGGGTGGGACAGAGTCAAATCGAAGATGCTTCCCGTACCTGAATGGACTCACATACATTTCACCGCAGTGCTGTCTCCTTGGTGGGGAGTCCACGGAGAAAAATCTTTTGAGGCTACATCACTTGGTTGGACTGGAGCATGGCTATAAAGACTGAATTATCTGGGCCAGTTCCCAACCTCTGCACTTCACAGATTTATTTATCTACCAAAGTATTGACAGACTGCCACAGAGAGAACTTCAGCAGCCTCAAAACCTCCTCCAGGTGTCTTGCAGAGCTGTCACAGTTCACATCAGCATACTGCACTAACAAAAAAGATGTGAAGAACCAGGGAATTGAATACACAGGGGTCTCGGGCCTATAAGGTATGCTGGGAGATCTGTGGAAACAGACATGGGTGCTGCATACACACTCTGCCCATTACAGCCTCCAGAGATGATGCTGGCTGGGAGGTACCTGCACTCACTTGTACTCATAGAGGCCAATGGATACTTTCAATGTAAACCTGGAATTGTCTTTTCATTTCAAGAGCAAACATGAAAAACAATGGTTTCAAGACAGTGAGCCTACCATGAAATAGTTACTGTGTCTTATAATTTGGTTTTGTTGATTTTAATGAAAAGTCCAGGAAGACAGCACAATTGATGTCAAAATGCTGAAGCTTGAGGTCAGGAACCATGAAACCCCTTTGTGGGTCCATCAAAGATGGGAAGCCGGAATCTTCCAATGACGTGGAAACCACAGACTGCTCACCAACGGAGTCCCCTACAGAGGGGCTTTTAGGATGTCAGCAGTAGGACCAGGAACTTTTTCCCATAAACGAACAGAATTTGTGTGCTTCTCGTCACTCATTTGTCAATTTATAGTGAATTCTTACTGAACATGTCAGGCACGATACTTTGCATCAGAAATATTACAGCCAATGACGAACGGCCCCTGCTTTAGACTGGGCGTGACGATGGCTTTTTGGTCAATGGGGCCAAAGGAGCCCTGACCACCGACAAGGCAGAGGCGGGGTTCCCAGTGCAGAACTCCTGACCCTACGGCTGCCAGCAGCCATCTCTGCAGAAGGGACTAGAAGCTGCTTCCTGCGTGCACAGGTTGGCGAGCCAGGGGGAAGCTCCTGTTGTTTGCACCTCTGGCTCCAGAGACGGCATGAAGGAGGTGCCACCGAGCCCGAGTCCAGGGCAAGAGCCCAGAGGCCGGGATGGGAAAGGGTGTAGAGTAGCGGTCAGTGCCCATGCTTTCGAGTCAGCACCTATGTTCCCATCTCAGCATTCCCATTTACTATGTCTACAGTTAGGAGACTTGGCGCAACTGGATTATCTTTCCTGAATCTTAGTTGTTCTGGCTATGAAACAGTCTAAGCCTGATACCTGGCTCCTGAGTCTAGGCACACTGCTGGTGATCATGTGTGGAAAGCACTTGCACAGCACCTGGTTGTGACACAATTTCCTTGGCTTTGTCCTAGCCTCGGCCCCCACTGGGACCCCCTGCCACAGTGCCCTCATCTAGGGGATCCCCCGCAACAGGACCTTTGCATGGCCTGAGCTTGGCTTCAGCATGCTGAATTATAACTCATTAGTTCACATGTGTGCCTCCTGCCTATTCCAAGAACAGCTCCAACCTGGAATCGCAGCTTGTGCGTATCTGCATTCCTAGCGCATATCATCTATTCCCAACACGTAATAAGTGTGCAATACACATTTTGAGTCAAATACTTATTTAATGAAGGAAAGTTATGAGTCATAAAGTTTTCTTGGATTTTTTTATGAACGCAATGGGCTAACATAAATAAATGAGAAATCTGCAACATTGAACATTTTCCTTTCAAGATCTTAACTACTACCCCAGTTCTGACCATGTGGGCCAGGAGACACAAAAGGACTCGCTCCTGTTTTTCCTTTTAGGTAAAAATCATTTCTCATACTTTCTCAGTGAGACTGTGATAATAGAGACAGCTGTGATGTCAGAATATTCTGGAAGAATGGAAAGCATGGCGCAGTTTCAGCTTGGCACGCTGAAATCATTCTGGGATTTTCCCAACACATTCATCAGTAAAGACCCACACAAATTAGGATCCTGGAACTGCATAACAAAATAAGTCCTAAAGTCATGCAGGTGACGTGGTGCTTCTGATGCTGGGGGGAGCCGACGGAGTAGGTAGCAGTGACCAGGATCTCGAACCACTGCTGTCCTCTTGTGGCCTGGCAGATGATGTGCTGCTGCCCGCCAATTCAGTTCAGGCAGAAACTGGAGCTCCCAGGGCCACCCTCCTCATGCTCCAAAAGCTGCAGTGGAAATTGAGCTTATTTTTCCAAAGAACAGATAATAAGAAAGAACTGTCTGTTTAATGCATTGCCTAGGATGAATGTGACCTACTGAAACTGGGTTATGAAAAGACAAAAATAGCTGTGCCTGTCGGGAAAGAGGAAGGCTACATGCCGGAGTGGAATTTACCCAGACCCTTGGTCTTGGTAGAAGGGTAGTGTTCTTTCACTGAGGCATGGACACCTTGGGGCCAATGGCACTGTGGGACAGAGGGCACCCCTGCTGATGTGACACAAGGGGTCCTGTCTCAGCCTCAACACCGAATGGGAGGGGCCCTGAGTGAGAAGAGCACCCGTTAGATGATGGGAAGGGCTCTGAGTGAAAAGAGCACCCATGAGATGATGGGAGGGGCTCCGAGAGAGAAGGGCGCCCATGAGATGATGGGAGGGGCTCCCAGTGAGAAGGGCACCCATGAGATGATGGGAGGGGCCCGAGTGAGAAGGGCACCCATGAGATGATGGGAGGGGCCCGAGTGAGAAGGGCACCCATGAGATGATGGGAGGGGCTCCCAGTGAGAAGGGCACCCATGAGATGATGGGAGGGGCTCCAAGTGAGAAGGGCGCTGATGAGCTGAGCGGCATTTTGCTCCAGCTGTCATGAGGATCTCAGAACAGCCGAAGTGCTTGTAGGTAATAGCACTTATAGAAAGTCATTTGGAAAATCTCACCTTTATGCCTTCTTTTTACAGCCTGCTACTGACTGCAAATTACTTGCAGGGGAACATGGTTGTAACCCCACCGTTTTTGTCCATTTGGGCTATAATAACACAATAACTTGGCCTGGCTGACTTAGGACAACAAAAATTTGTTTCTGATGGTTCTGCATGGGGAAAGTCCAAGATCAAGGCAGATTTGGTGTCTGGTCAGGAACTGTTCCTCCTAGACAGTGCTTTCTCACTGTGTCCTCATGTGGCAGAGAAAGGACACTCGCTTTCTGGGGGCTCCTATAAAGACATGAACCCCATTCACAAGGGCTCCACCTTCATGAACTCATCTAATCTAAATTACCTCCAACAGACCTGCATCTCATAATTCCATCACATAAGGGGGTAGGGTTTCAACATATGCATTTGAGGAGATGTGAACATTCAGTTAATAGCCCCCACCAAAGGCTTTCTTAAAGGTACAAGAATATTCATCTCCTTTAACTTCTCTGGTCTCTCAGGCAATGCAGTATGTTTATTCCAGAGAGAGTGCTGTGTGAAAAGGCCACCTGGCCATGGAAATTATAGTCACGCATCCATTGATGATAAAAATACTTTCTGAAAATCGACTTAGCTTGCCCTACCCTTGAAGAATATCAAGGTGTTATGAAACAGACTGTGGCTAAACAGCTAAAGGGAGTCCTTACACTGTAACCTGCCACTCCTCAACAGGTGGATTCTGTCCCCCGGGAAGGGTCTGTACCTTGCACAGGGTTTGAGCTCATGGATTCGCACTTTGGCTTGACTTAGCAGATACGCATATAAAGCCGCACTGCAGGATCTTGATAGAGGAGATCAGGGATGCCACTTTTCCAGGCTGCAGTAGGGATGGCTGTCAGACCCCTTACTGTGCGTTGGGGCTGCAGCCCTCACATCTGAGTGATGACGTGGAATTCAGGTCACCTCCAAATCTGACCCACATCCACAAAAAAGGAGCATCTTAGATGCCACAAGCATTTGCTACCAATAACATATTATGACAACAGAAAAGCTTATTAGAGACTTTTATTTTCCTCATTTTAATATTGATCTTTAAACTGCACGGTGAAGGAAGTGAAACAATTTTTTTTTCCTTTTGCCAGGTTCTGGAGAGATGGAGAGATCTGTCCAGATCTGGAGAAATAGTAAGTAGGCTCAGGGAGAAAGATGGTATAAAATCCCTGCCCTGCTAGTCTCCCAGTGCATGAGATCTGGTGAAACAGGTTTTTTATGGTAGAAAGCACAATATTATAAATAGTAAGATTTTTATGGTTAATTAAGCATTTCAAATAAATCAGGACACTCAGAGAAACGTTTTCCATTGCCCCACATACCAATAGATGTGTTTGTGTTTGTTTTGTTTTAATTCATTTCTGGCTTCTTTAAGAGATATTTAAGGTAGAAAGAAAATATAACTTCATCCTCAGTTTTCAAAACTCTGCAAGTTTATATTAATATAATGAATAGAAAAAGCTGGAGAAATGTGTAACTAGATCTTAAAAGAATGATGAAGATGCCATAAAAATGGTCCTGTTCACAACAGTTATCACCATGGATTCGGGCTACGGGAGCCCCGGACCCCCACCCCCAGTTCCTGCCTCACCCTCAGGCTACCTCGGTGTGCCAGCAGGGGAGCAGCGGGACCGGATCTCTTTGCAGGCGCGCCAGCATCCATCTGTTTACTGCACGTTAATCCTGAATTTGGGGGGCGATCTGTTTGAAAGACGCTATTCCAAGGTGGCCACCTTATGTGGTGGCCCAGGGATGATGACTCATGGCTTTGGTTTGGGCAGATCTGAAAGACCTATCGCTTATTTTGTCTACACGGAGGGAAGGTTACAATAAGCTGATGTCATTGTGACGGGCATTGGTCTGTTCCCGTTCGAAAGAATTCATTTTCAGCAGTGGGGGGTATGTGTTAGATCTTTGTTTATCTTGCAGCTGAATTCTCAGCCAGGTCCATGGAATTTTGAGTTGCCAACTTGTGTGCAATAATCCAGAGTATTAAAGAATTCTTTTTTCTTCTTAGTGCAAAAAAAAAAAAAACCCTTTTTTAAAAAAATTCACAGAGGAGAAACAGAATTTAATTTTTGAATGTTTTCTTTAATATTTTCAAATATATGTGAAAGAGAGAGGGCTTTGGTGGCTTCAACAATTAAAAGAAATGCAGCATCTCTCATTAAAGATATTACATAAAATGTAAGAACAATACTAGAAATGCAAATATAACTAATTGAAGAATTATTTTGATTTACTATAACTCTGTGTAACTATATAATAAATTATTATTTTTAAAGAGTGCAGTAAATATATATATAGGAAACAGTAGAAATAATTATATAATATTTATTGAATGTTTCAGAACATTTTATTCTGGATAAATATGAGTTTAATATATCAGTAATATTTAAATATAGCATCATCAAATATAGCAAAACTAATATAATTCAAATATATTATAATATATAATAATTTATATATAATTATATATTATATCTATATATTCTATATATTATATAGAATTGTATAATTATATATTTATTTATATATTTAATTTAACATTTATTATGTATTAATATATAATAACATATACTATATAATTATATTGCATATTATATAATTAATATATATCAATATAAAAATAATTTCTTATTTAATTATATATAATTATATAATTATAAATGTATCATTATGTAATATATAGTTATATAATAAAATTTAAATATAGGTCAAATTAAATATAGTCGTATCAGTGCTTTGATAACAAACTAATTAAAAATAAAAACAAATCTCAGAGTTTTAAAATAAAAAAGAATATTTCTCTACCATATTTGGTGATCAGAATCAGTTACTACCTTCATGGCATTATATTTACTAACTATAGCCTAAATAATTTTATTTCATTTCAGAATTACTATTGTATTTCAACTTTCTTATTCAGAAACAATAAATTAGCATGGCAGAGATGGCTAATTACCTCCTTGTTTTGGAACATCAGTCTGGACATTCTCCATTTTCTTAATAACAAGACCTTAATTTTGTTAAAATTTATTTATTGAGGGCTAAGCACACCTATGTGGTCAGCTCTATTTTCTGCCTCTCTTGTAGTTCACAGTGGCCACATGATACAGTTCTGGCCAAGTGAGACTTCTGGGAAAGCCTCTACAAGTGAACACATTTGTTTAGATTGTCCTTTTTGCCCTTTGCCCCAGTCTTCCTTTGAGCCAGGAACGTGGATGTGATGGCTTGAGTGCCAGTAGCCAACTTGCACACATGACACAAAGGCTCACACCCTGTGGACCTCGAATGGCTACAAAATCTCTAGAAAAGATATTTAAAATGAGCTAGAATCCCTAATGACATTGGTTGCTTATTTTCTTCTTCATGTGACATGAATATGTATCTTCTATAACCATTTGTTATGGAATTTTCTGTTCAATACAGCCAAACACAATTTCCAAAATGATACAATTAAGATAAGGGATAAACTGCTGAGATGATAAAAACATTGTGTTCTTATTGTATATTTCTTGTTCATGATTATTAAATATGCTCTGAAAATCTTGGATTGATGAAGGAGAAGGCTCAACATGAAATTTTACCTGCCATTGTGGGGCAATGTCCTCTACATTTATTCTTTTTTCATACTTTTTAGGAAATACATACCATTAACAAAGGAAAATCGGACAGATGATAGGTAGATAAATGATATGTAGGTAGATAGGTAGGTAAATAGATGATAAATAGCTTATAGATTAATTATAGATGATTGATAGATTGATAGCTAATAGATGATAAACAGGTAGATGATAGATAAATCATAGATACACAGATGGTAGATAGATGATAGTGATAAAGAGAGAGAGAGAGACAGAGAGAGAATGTCCGCCCAAAGTCACCATTATTATGGATTTTGTTTACCATTTTCTTGATATTCTATTTATGTATGTGTTCTTAAGCAATGTTGTTTAGTTTTGCATATATTTTATACGGATGAGATTATGCTGTTTGCATTCTTGTGTAACTTCTTTTTCACCCAACATTGTGTTTCTGAAGCTCATCCACATCAATCTGTTTGGCTATAATTTATTAATTTATTCATTTTTCACTGCCATGTGGCATTTGAAAGTATGAATATGCCAAATATATTTATCCACTCTCTGTACATATTTGGGTTGTCATGTCCAGTTTGGAGTTTTTACAAAGAATATTGCTATGACCATTCTTTAAGTGTTTCCTGGACCACATGTATGAGATTCTGCCTGGTGTAAATATTTAGAGAGAGAATTGCTATGTTGCAGAATTGTCACTGGACTCTCACAAATTATTTTACAAAGGAATTTGTTCCAATTTACACTTCCACCAGCAACAGAGAAGACTTTCTGTTGTCCCATATGCTCATCAATAAGTATTCACCCTGCCCAGAGCAGCCTGCCAGGAGTAGGGGAAAAGCTGGCTGGATAGATAAACCCAGCTGCATCATTCATGAGACCAGAGTGATTTATGCACTCACGCCAGTTGTCAATCGATCTTATCAATTCATTCCACTGATTGGTCTTTCACTATGGAGTCATGAAAAAATAGTATAGAAAAGAATTTCATGTAGTACACAGGCAAATACTGAATCACAAGTCGCAGATTCAAGTTTCTGGTTAATTTATTTTCATGGGTCTAATTTCCTTGACCTGTGCCGTAAGGATGTCAGACTTGATGGCTTCTGATGACCCCTGGTGGGGGTCTGCAGCTCTGAAATTTTCAAATACCTTCCTTCTATTTTACAAAGGAGAAGAGAGGCTTATATTTCACAAACTGTGAGACTTATTATGGTTCTGAAAATTTCTTACCACATAATCCCTTCATTTAGACTCTGAATCCGTCCAACTACTGGTTTAAAAATAGTAACTTTTACTTGAACTTGGCGACAGGCTTAAATTAAAACTCCTACTCAGTGGTGATGTGGTCATAAACCGTTGCTTACTCTGGAAACACTCGGCTTGCTAACTAACTTAAATTGTGCTTTTCAGGCTTACAATTCAACACACTTCCACATTTGAGGGGTGCTTCCTGCCTTCGGGTGACCTATGCTGCCAGTGACCCCAAAAAGGTCCCTGGGCTGGATCATACTCTGCCATTCCCATTTGAACTTTCTAATCCTTTTGAACAAAGGGCCTCAAATTTTTGTTTTGCACTGGGCCCTGCAAATTATGTAGCTGGTTCTGGGTGTTTTGTACTTAAGATCACCTCTATGCAGATTTCTCCATAAAACACAATCACAACAAGCCCAAAAGAAAGAGGTAAATTGTTTGTAAGACAAAATTAGCAATATTTTTGTTCTTCTTTCTCTCTTTTTTTCTTTTTTTAATTGCAGTTCACATGCAGAAATGCTGCTTTGCAGAGTTTGCAAAAGACAGCTTTACCCTTCTCCTCACTCCTGCTCCAGAAAAAAGAGTTCTTCCATAGGTCTGTTCCTAGCCGCTTTAAAACAGCAGTTCTGAGGTGGGTGGATCACAAGGTCAAGAGATCGAGACTATCCTGGCCAACATGATGAAACCCTGTCTTTACTAAAAATACAAAAATTAGCTGGGCATGGCGGCGTGTGCCTGTAATCCCAGCTACTCAGGAGGCTGAGGCAGAAGAATCACTAGAACCCGGGAGGCAGAGGTAGCAGTGAGCTGAGATCATGCCACTGCACTCCAGCCTGGGTGACAGAGCGAGACTTCATTTCAAAAAAAAAAAAAAAAGCAATTCTAGCCAGGTGGCTCACACTTGTAACCCAGCCCTTTGGAAGATGGAGACAGGAGGATTCCTTGAGACCAGGCGTGTGAGACAAGCCTGAGCAAGAAAGCAAGGTGCTGTCTCTACCAAAAGCAATTATTTAGCAAGACATGTTAGGTCTGTAGCCCCAGCTACTCAAGAAACTAAGATGGGAGGATGGCTTGAGTCCAGGAGGTCGAGGCTGCAGTGAGCCATGATCATACCACTGCACTCCAGCCCAGGCAACAGAGTAAGACCCTGTGTCAAAAATACTTTTTTAAGAAGCCAGCAATTCCTGTCTGTCCCTACCCACGTACACGTGCTTATGAGAAAGAAAGGGTAAAGGGAGGGGGGAGTTAGGGAGCTTACATCTATCATCCCCCCAACACACATGATCACGTTCAATGCCACACACCAAGAGCTTTCTATCCATGGCATACTTGGGAATTTTCAGTATGCTTATCATCTGATGGACAGTTTATGGAAAGAGGGATTTCATTACTTCTTTTATAGAGCATTAAAGATTTTTTTAATGTTGCTTCAGTGCTTGTATACTGGGAAAGAAATCTCCAGTGTTTCTGAATTTGTTTTAGCTTCAATTTAAGACTATTCCACTAAATAAAATTCCTTAAAAGCTGCACGTCAGTGTGTTTTGACTTAAAAGAACACGGCAATTCTTTTGATTTTGTTAATATTCCAAAAATAAATATTTGACTCATAAAGGTTAAGGAAAATTCATTCTTGTTTACAGTGGCTGCACATGTCCTGTGCTTGTTCCAATTCTGGCAGCCAAGCAGCTGGCCCCTTCCACCGGAGCTCCCCGGCCAGCTGTGCCCAAGGTTGCTTGAAACCTGTTAAAAATCATTTATGAACGTTCATATAGACAGGTGTTCTTGCATAAAGCAAAGCTGCCTTCTAAGAATTTAATAAGAAGGATCACACATGTAACTCCATAAAACAGTTGAAATTGAACGCAGGTAATGAAACAAAAAGGACGCCCAGACAACCTTAACAATAGGTTACTTCTCTGCCAAATTGCCTTTTGCCTCCGTCTCCCGATGGGCTGGACCCAGGACGTGGGATGTGCTCTGGCCCCGCCCAGGGGCACTCTCTGTTGGTCAGATTTCTATGCCAGGAACATCTGAGCCCGTAGAAAACACCTCCCTTAGGATTTGTGGGTGTTATCAAGTGTGTTAGGAGCTGGAGAAAGGGATGTCTCATGTGGAAATGGCTCTAGTGCTCATTCACCTTGATAGGGGTATTTCATGGGGGC